TTTGAGAGCGAATACTGCAGGTGTGAACAGTATTGAATAATTTTAAATAAAAAAAATTTTGTTTGGAGTGTTTCTCTAAGAGGAAAAATTTCATTATGTAATAGTACCTTATTATGGATTAAAAAGAATGCATAGACAACGAATTTTAAGAACACTGATATTTGATGTAAATCTAACAAACAAAAGTTGGCAATACAGTACACACATCCAGCATGAATGTGCTTTAAGAACAAGGCATAAAATACTTGTGATTTATTTACATCAGTTCCAATTCTTGCATATTTGAGTCACTTCACCTTGAACTTCACTGTTTTATTAGTTTTGTTTCAAAGAATGGTAAACCACTGCTCACATATCTTTAACGTAACATTTTTTCGTTGCTTTTCAGGAACATTCTCCACCACAGGAGAGAGAGATGTGAACTGCCTTAAGTGGGCCTTCATTGCGCTGAGCTTTTTATTATGTTTATCAGACATTTTTTTTAAGCAAAGTATCCTGCATTGTTCAGTAAGTATACTTTATTTTGAAAACCTCATGCTGTCTATGCAGCATTGTTCAAAAATTATACTTTATTTTAAAAGCATCAAGCACTGCTCGTCTGTCTAACAGTAACAATAAAGAGTTAATGGTGATTTGTTTGGCACTGCAACTTTTTCTACAGAACGGATGTGCATGCCTGACAGGCTGGGCAGGAATTTAGTGCGCTACTCACGTTCAAAGTTACGCTGCAAGACTGCAGCGGCATCTTTTGCCATGCAGTCGGTGCTACAGCTCTCATGGAATTCTGGTGTCCTCGTCACTAGAGCATATGACTACTGAAGCTTTAGACTTCAGTAGTCAATTCCTCAGGGCCATTCGTCATAGCTTATAACAATGTTTGTGTCCAGTATTTTAGTTCTCTCGCATGTGGCGAGGTCCACCTCACTAAAACGAGTCAGCATTAGTAGTGTCGCCTTCCTTGTCAGTGTCGTCTGCATTGATCCTGTGGTAAAGCTTCTGAGCTTGATGGTGAAAAAAAAACTTCAATATAAAGAATGTCTGCTGCGGGCCTGATTGCTACATTATACATCTGTAATGCGCCATTTGGGTATACATTGAGAGCATACAGCAAATCTGCCCTCTGAGCTCTTGTTTTGTAAAGAGTTGGACTCTTATCCGTTTAAATCTTTCTGTAGGACAGTTTACACGCTATATGCTAGCATAAAATGAAGGCTGCTTAGGCACTTCCTTGCCCTCCTGGCATAGGGCTGGTCCCTATACCAGGAAAGGTAATATTTCTGAGGTATGTACATGGTACATCCACAGGATCAGGCTGAACATCCTACAATGGTCCTGAATGTCCAGCTGCATCAACCAGATTGTGTTAGTGGTACGTTTTCTGGGGAACCATTTTGCACTGCACAGTAGATACTTTCAATGTTGGATGAATCGTTGCAGATATCCACTGGATACGTTAAATGTCCGAACAACACATCTCTCGGATGTTTAATAGACGGTTGCTGGTTGACTGGGTACCATCAAACCAATGTGCACCGGGGCACCTGTTGTCAATTACCGCTCATTGGTTTTCGCCCCCTAAACGCCATCAACCCAATGTGCACAGGGGTGCCTGTCGTCAATTGCCGCTTATTGGTTTTTGCCCCATAAATACCATCAATCCAATGTGCACAGGGGGGCCTGTTGCCAATAGCCGCTCATTAGTTTTTGCCCCATAAATACCATCAACCCAATGTGCACAGGAGCACCTGTTGCCAATTGCTGCTCATTGGTTTTTGCCCCATAAATACCCTCAGTGCAATGTGCACTGGGGTACCTGTTGCCAATTGCTGCTCATTGGTTTTTGTTTCATAAATGCAATCAGCCCAATGTGAATTCCCTAAAGGATTACCAATTCAGCCCAATGTGAATTCCCTAAAGGATTACCAATTGGTGCACATAGGTTTTTGTTTCATAAATGCATATTGCTCAATGTGTCTGGACCTACAGTTGCACATTGGTTCAATGTGAATTTTGGCCTCATTTCACATCGCCCATTTCCAGCAGGGGAGCAATGGAAGGATCACTGACACACTTGCCGTGCTTCCCTGATGCCATGTGGAAGGCTTCTATGATTTCTCGTTTGTTTCTATTTTTTGATCTGTCCATTACTGATGTGTTTTCGAATAGCGGTTCGCAGCTGCATCTCGCGCAATGCGCTGCTAAGTTGCCAGGTGCTTGCAATTGCCCGCATGAATATTTATGTTCTGAGAGTCTGTCATTTAAGCACCTCCCCGTCTGCCCGATGTATGAGTTTCCGCACGTCAATGGTATCTTGTAGACGACCCCTTCTACGCATTCGACGAACTTGTTTTTGTGCTTTACCCGACACGACGATTGACCCGATGTGTCGCCTTCCTCTTCGTTAACCTTTTTGCACAGTCCTTTAAGCTTGAATGGTGCGGATAGGGCTACTTTGACCTCGTGCGTTTCGGCAATCTTTTTCAGTTGGTGCGAAAATTTATGAATGTATAGCATCACTACCAGAGTGATGCCACACATCAGTAATGGAGAGATCAAAAAATAGAAACAAACGAGAAATCATAGAAGCCTTCCACATGGCATCAGGGAAGCACGGCAAGTGTGTCAGTGATCCTTCCATTGCTCTGAACAAAAAGGAAATTGAACTGCTGAGACAATACATAACATAACGAGGCGGACACCAGCACCAGCTTCAAGGTCCCCTCTCACACCACAAAAACCGAACGTTTATCAGAAAATGGGAAAAACACCACAAAAATCGGAAATCCACACATCTTCATGAAGACATTTATCATTATTTCATAGCGTTCGCTCCTTTTCAAACTCACGCATTGGAAACTCATGCATTGAAAAGGAGGAAAAAGAAAAAAATAAACAGTTGTTAGTCAGCGCCCATTTGTGTTCGTTGTGTTTCTCCTCATCTCAATGTAAACTCATCCTTTTCATTTTCAATTTTTTAGTCACTCGTTTGTTCTGTAGAACTTCGCAGCGCAGCACGTCTATCAATGTACAACCAACTAGCCCAAACCCAAGTCCAAGCTTTATTACCCAATAGACCCTATGCAAAACGTGCAGCGCCACGACAGAAGGGAATTTTGGGAAGCCTCGGTACAGATCACGCACTTTCTCGTTACGCCTCCGCGACTGCGCGCGCTGCCCGGCTGCTACCGCCAGCAGCCGTCGCAGCCATTCGCCATTCTGCCCATCCGCCGAGTCGTACGTCGTTGGCAGCATACCGTGTCTGTGGCAGCGTAAAGGCATCGCGACAGGTAAACTTGTTTGAATACGTTATTCGTCGTAACTTACTTTCACGTATTGAAGCGTCACCGAATCCACTTACTTCGCACCGCAACCGTGGCAGGTTTCGAACAGGTTCAACACAGCGTTGGTGCAGCAGACGACATAGCCGGTACAAAGGAGGGAAAAAAGTCAAGTGAGCGACAAGCCGTTGGCTTGTCGCTCGTTGCCGTGGTAACCTGCGCCTGCTCACGTGTGCCACGTGGTCACATGGTAGTGGGAGGAGGGGCGTATTGAGGACTCCCATTATTCCCGCGCGGCGCGCACGGGGTTTTGGGATTTCTGCAAAGGGTCTATTGGATCCGAGTTACTCCGGCAGGTCGTGTCACGTGACAACATAGATTGAAAAGCGCTGAACGCGGGTAGGTTTTGGAATGCCAAGGTACCAAACCTTTACCCTGGAGCAGGGTGTAAGATAGACAGGTGGGGAAATGGCCCATAGAAACCTACCGCAGCGCCGTGACCGGATTGTGTACTCGTCTGCTTGCGGGAGGCTTGCGGGTACCCCCGATTTGCGACAGATGTCGCTGCGGCGAGAAGAAAAAAATTAGAATCGAATTTGCATGGAACTCTATGGGAGAGTGCGCAAAATAAACTGAGAGCACGACAGTCCTCCATTGAAAATGCACGAGAAACCTGCTCCGTCAGTTTAACCGGTCGCCAGCGTTCGCCCAGCTGGAGTGAGAGTTCGCGGTGCTCCACATAGATGGCGCCACAGAAAAAGGGAAAACCGAGGGGGACACAATCCGGTCGCTCATTTGGCTCTCGTTTCACCACCTGTCTATCTTACACCCTGCCCTGGAGCAAGATCGAGTAAATTTTGGAACACGGCTTCTGTGCTTGAGGCGAGTAGCAAACCCAACAGTATGCTATTCAAAGCGACAATAAAAAAGTTTAAAAGGGGCCTTGAAATGATAGACAGTTTGAGATTGGAACTTACTAATCACATATCGTTTAGTGGCTCAAAGGTAGAAAGCCAAAAGCCTGCTTTTCAATATGAAAATATAGCGGACTATTTCGTACCTCCATTCATTGAAAAGCTTTCCACCTTTTTACTGCGATACACCAGTGGTACCCAAAGCATGTTAGCCTACCCCAGCTCACACGTTGAACACTAGCACTGCATCACTCGGTCGTACGTATGCACTCGTCAACGATCAATCCGTTGACGCATATTTAAATTTGCATTCGTGGCCAATGAGTGCATGGCGGCAGTAATCATCGCTTGCGAATGACAAGTTCCATGGCGTGCTTACAAAGACCAATGGAAGCTTGGGGTCATTCTACCGGTGCCCAGGCACATCACTACCGCGCGATTCATTTCGCTTTTGAGTTTGGGAGAAAAGCTAAGAATGAAGTTGAAAAATCATTTCATGGCCCCTTCAAGAATTGGCATGCCTATCGCAACAAACAGCAGCGTAGCAAGGCACAGGCTGTCTTGGTTTGCAAAGCAAAACTGAACCATGCAAAAAATAAGGATGCGTATTCCAACACTTGCAAATTGTAGTAGAATAAGGACTTTTGCAGAATTTGACACAAATGGTACAGCCATGGCAACACCGAAACATACTACCATTTTCTGCTGGCGAAGATCAAGTGCAAGGAAGGTTGAAACCAAAGCTTACTTGGTATAGCTCGTAGCTTGAAGAATGCTCATCAACAGTAGTGAGGCAGAAAGGCAACTCTTTTAGCTAGGAAAGTAGTTTATTTGTGATACACTGAATCCACAAAGAACAGAGTACAGTAACTGGCACATTTCTTTTTACAACTTCAGGAACACAATTCAACCTGGAGCAAAGTGTCAAAGCTAGGTTAAATTGTAAGGAAATCCAGAGAACTTACCTAGGCGGAATTACTTTTCAAAATGTCGTCACAAAAATTCATACATAGGAATCAAGGTGCCTTAATAAAACCCAATGCTCCTCATACGCTCAAAATGAACAGTTAAAGTAGCTCTATACATCATAAAACGACAATGATCTCAAAGTTAAAAGCAGCTACACACAAAAAAAGGGGTGTAACCGGTACACTCCTTGTCACATATGACACCCCTAAACTTCATTTGGACGTACAGCGCACCAACGTTCAACCGACGCTACCAACTTTCACGGGTGGCTTGATAGCCGAGTTGTACACTCAAGGCGAAAGCCTTATGTCTTATCGCTCGGTCAACCTTCAAAGTCCTTGAGCGAAAACATGTCGGGGACATGAAAGGTACCAAGACGTTTACGTGACGTCTGCAAATTTTAATATTCCTCTGAAAAGAATATACGCTCTTCTGCCTCGGCTGGCATCGAACCAGCGACCATACGTTTAGTAGTCCGACGTGGCACCCCTCCGACCGCCACACCCGTAAATCATGTCTGTCTTTAATGCATCGGCGCTTGGGCTTTTGCCTTCAGGGGTAACATAAGAGACTCTGAATTTATAAAATAGCTTAACTGACTGTAAAAAAAGTAATCAGGATCTTCTTGGCCCCAGTGCAAAACCTGTGTTTTTATTTGTTTTTTTTCTGTAGTCTTTGATGCATACTTTAGCTGTTTAATATCTTATATCACACCATCATCAAGCCTCTCATAAAAGTTGGGGTCGTCATTTTGACGTCGGAAGTTTTGGCACATCGTATATGTGACAAGAGGTGTACAAACTACCCTTTGTTTAGTGTTTAAACTCAATTAAGCGAGGCCATTCAAAACAAAAAATGATACATGGTAGTACTGCAGCTGTTGCCTAATAGCAACTCACGTTAAAAGCTGATAAATATGGCTCCATTTCTAAACTTCATTTGAATAGACAGCACACAGGCAGTGAAGCACACGGTGAGACATGAAATTATACTTCCATACCTTCAGATATTGCATGACACAGATCCCTCACTTGTGAACTTTTTTCCGGTGAGTACTTAAATTGCTACTCTGTTTAAACATTTTCCCGCAGGCTTCGCACTTGTAGGGCTGCTCCCCACTGTGGGTTCGTTCGTGAATCAACAACCTGGATTTAACTGAAAATGCTTTCTCGCAGGTGCCACACTGGTATGGTTTCTCGCCCGTATGGAGTCTTTTGTGAATCCTCAGGACATAAGGTCTGGTGAACGCCTTCTGGCAAACCTCGCAGCGAAATGGTTTCTTTCCCGTGTGAGTCCTGATGTGAGTGCGTAAGTTACAGATTAGAGTAAACGCTCTCTTGCAGACAGAGCAGTGGAAAGGCTTCTCTCCTGTGTGTGTCCTTTCGTGCCTGGTCGTACACGAGGGCGTGTACGACCAGTGTACGTGCGAGTCGTACACGAGGGCGTGTACGACTCGCAGTCGTACACGCCCTCGTGTCGTGACCGCCTCGTGGGTTGCGACTCAACCAGTTCTCCTGTAGGGCAAGGGAAGTCGCTCTGGCTGTCCCCATCGTCCCATAAGGCTGCTTTGCCCGGCACTGTAGGTGAGACGTGAGAAACAAGAAGCGTCAACGACAGTGAAAGTCCAATGCCAACACGCAAGCATTAGACAAGCTTGGCAAAAAAAAAGCACATGCAAACATGTGTACCAGCACCTGTTTGTTTCAGAAAAAAAAACAAAAAAACTCTGCAAATAAGAGCAATTCAAGTACTAACCCCTTCAATTCACTTTTGTTTTTGAAAAAAACTATGCAGTCCTCTTCAGCATCACCTAGGAAGACCACACATCAAATACTATATGACCTAGTTCTGTTTAAACATTTCTTAAACGGTCCAGCAAACTTTGCAACTCGCCAAGTTGCCGAAATCGGCTGACTCGAGAGGCGAATGGAGGTGTCAAGTCTAACGCGCAGTCAAGTCTACGGCGCAGCCGTAGCCAACACTGAGCTAAACGTCATTACCATTGCCCCTTTTTGCTTGTTTTTACTTCTCCGGGCAAGCGTAACGAGTGACGTCAGCAACGTTTCCTCTCAGTGCTCAGCGGCGACTCAGTGCACAGCGCGTTTCTTGGGAGCCGTCCAGCCATCTCGCTGTGGTTCGCCGTTACTGCCATCTCACAGTTTGTGATTATTGTCTCTCGGAGTTTCGTTCACACTACGGGCACTACGTACGCAGACTTATGCCACACTGGTGCAGACGTCGTTGAATGTCGTGGACACCAAAACGCGGTAAAGGCTGCGGTGCCAACGACACTTGCACCTGGCATGCGACCACGCCAATATCGCACGTCGTTGCATAGAGGATCACGTGACATCTCATACTATGCAACGGTACTATGTGAAGCCATGTTCTTGGCGGCCTGAGGCCAATGTTGCCAAACGGAGCCAAAGTTTCGGTTTCAGCTCGTGTTGAAAACGAGATTTAACAATATATATTCCATTTTTCCTGAAGAAAATGACATAGTGTCTACTTTAATGACGTGGTAATTAAGTAATATCACACTTTGAGTTAATGAAAAAGTTACGAGCATAGCCCATTCATGCAGGCAATTTTCAGGTGCACATTATCTTTCAGTGAATCAGCTCATTTCACATTATAATAGCCGTGAGGAACAATAAAAGAGCCTAATATCTGGGCCTGGGAATTGCTATGAAATAAAAATCTGCAGTGAAGGTAGCATGTAGCCTGGGAAGTCTGTCCATTGTAATATTGCTCTCAAAAGGTCTACAGTCACTGTCACTGTACATCAACGAAAAATCACACAACTTGAGTATCCACGCACTGCTTCCAGTGCAAGAATGTGGTTAAAAAACCACAATTGCTGACATCTTGTTTCAAACACCAGGCAAGAGCAAGCGAAGCAAAACAACTCTATCACACTGGTTTTGTTTGCACAAATGGAGTGGTGGTGAATGCAATCACACTGGTTGACTGGTTGGGCTAATCTAAATAACTGGGATCCATCTGATGCAATAGAACACACTCATTTTGATTCAATGATGCTGGACTGGCATAAGCAAGAACACTGCACAAAGAATGCATGCTCTTAAAAGTTGAGTTGGCAAGTCGGAAGAAGTCTCCCTGCAAAGCAACAATGTGCCATTTTCTGCACCTTGCGACGGTTGCCAGAGTCGACCTGCAGCGTTGAGAAGAGATTAATGAGCAAATGTACTGCCGCTTGTGTGAGGTAAGCATTTGACTGTTTTTAACACCCCAAAAATGGCACATTGATATGAACACCAAAAGCAGATCGTAGCAAATAAAATTGGCAAGAGTAGTGTAACAGGACCAGTATTTATATGGCCGTGCTCTGTAATGGACATTCAACTTCGCCCATTGCTTCATGCGCTTTATTTGAGAACAATCTAAAGGCCCGTTCACACTCTTACGACCTCTTAAACCTGGGTTCCTTAAAACTTCTTAAACCAGAAAACACACAGGCGCCATCTATTGGGAAGCAGTGTAAACTCAGCGGTCCGGCATATTTTTTTTTATTTCTCACGCATTATCCTTTCTTTCTTGGCTTGAAAAGTTTTTGTCAATGTTATAAACGAGCCTTTCTATGGGTATTACGCACATTTGACCTATGAGATCCCGCAAAACCTTCGCTCTTGTGAAATGCAGTTCCAGGGTCACCGCATAGATGGCGCCACAATGCCCAGTGTGTTCCCTCATTCTAAAAACATTTAACAAGTTTTAAGAGATCTCGTCTCTCTCAGTCGTACTCGGTTGCAAGAGTGTGAACGGGCCTTAATTCTTAAATGGTGTTGGCGTGGGGTTAGAGTTTAATTGGCTCTCACGCTACAAATACTGAATTTGTTTCTACTCGTGTCATATTTATTTCATAGACACTTTAATTGCAGCTTTTACATTTGGCAGCATTTTCTAGCGGGAAGCAAAGTACAGTCGAGAAAGTATTAAAGTTCAACAACTGCACGAAAACGATTTATCAATGTAAGCAACACAATAAATGAAAACATAAATATCACTGTTCAGAGAAAAAGTTGAAAATTAATTGCCGCATATTTAAGCATTTTAAAATTCTCGAGCTAAGGAGGGAAGCTACTCTACTTGTGTAACACCTTCCGGTAAGATATTTTTACAAATATGTATAAAAAAAAAAAAAAACTTTTACGAAGAGGGGGATGTTGCATAAAAAAATATCTGTAATGAAAAATTTACTTGATATACCCAAGCAAGTCTTTAAAAGACGGCCAAGCAATGTTCTCTTCCGTGCATTACCTATGACACTGTACCTACATCTGCGGCTGTAATGGACCGTTTTACAAAGTAGCACACCCTCATGCAGTGTACATGAAGAATGCGTGGAACCTTGGTGTCAGCATTTGCAAAAGGGCCCATTGCAACAAATTTGTGTTTACAAATACAATAGCGACACACTTTACAGTCTTATTCGTCACATTAACCACATTATGGCAGTGCTTTTACCAAGTGGCAACTTTTACACGGTAGGCTCGCAATAAATAAACTTGGGTATTTTATAGTTCTGCTTAATCCAAACAAATTTCAAAATTTTGGTTGTGCTGCTATGATTTCAGTGTATTCATAAGCCACTTAATTCGAAATGCTTTTTCATCAAGTATTTTCGCCAGTACTTGGACTGTGCGTAAGAGTTCTGACACTGCCAATAGGGTGCCTAAAACCGTGTTGCTCCCTGCTTAAGTAGTGGCATTTTTTCAAAAAGATAGTGAGTTCGGAGCACACAGGAAACGGAAGAAACAGATAACAAAGCCGATAGACACCCTGTTTCGCAATCATCCTGCCTTGTTAGCATTCTAAAATAGCTAAATGCTAGTGGCAGAGGAAATGACGTCGATGCGGGTTACTTCCACAAACCAAACAACGAGGGTGGTGGTTCACTCACCCGGTCTGCGCTGACACGTCTGGCTCCCAGTTCGAACGACAGAATGTGCATTAACTTCATTTAGAAAAGAAGATGTAAATATGCTCACCGATATGCCAAGACGAAGAGCACCTGCAACACTTTGCAGACATAAGGTACCACAAATCTAAGAACTCGGGAATATCCTAGTTCAACAAATATTCAACTCTGACAAAAAGTTGCAGCTTAGGTAATCCACGGATCTTATAGGGGATACTTCAGAAATCATGCAAACACTGGAAGCCAGCTAGCTTTATATTTGTGTCCAGTATGCTCGGACCATTAAACTTCAAGTTGAAAGTGCATATTCACAATAAGCTGTCCTCATACATAACATACAAATTTAAGGATAGCATGCATCAGACAAAGAAAAAGCAATGCAACCTTCCTATGTGTACGGTACATGCTATTACCATTCTCTCTGTTAGAGGACCTCCCCAACCTCCCCCCCCTCCCCCCAAAGAAAGAGCAGGCAGGTGATCCACTCAACATATTAGCCCCGTGCGCGACCGAAAGCGTCGCTGTGGTCGGCCTTCCACGATTGGCCGAACGCTGACTATGACGTAGGAAAGGGGATTTATCATCGACGGAAATAAGAGGAATGAAAGAACTTTAATTTTGACGGTGTTGGCAGTGTTGCTTCAAGAGCTCAATGATTTCAAGCTTCCACCATGCTATTTACAAACACCATCGAACTTGTTGTTTGCAAGGTAATGACGTCACAAGGGGGAACCATAGGAGGGCGCCACCAAAACATCTCGCCGCTAATAGCGACGTGAATGGTGCTCGCCGTGGAAAGGTAGTGTGGTTGCCCGCGCAAGCCTGACTGAAAAAGACCTTTGTCATTTATTATTTAATTTTCGTTTTCACTCGGAGTGCGAGTGAAACTCGGCTAGGCTTGGCTGGAAACCAGGCTGAGCAAGCCTTTTTTTTTTTGGCAGGCCATCGCCGGAAATTCTGGCGAGCGGCCACCCGTTACAAAGGGGACGCCACTAAATCCAAATCCAAAATCCAAAGACGCGACCCACATCAGATGGATGGATAGATGGTAATGGCTATACCCCTTGTAATGGGCAACAGCTTGCGCCACCTAGGTTAACATTTCGTCATCCTATCTATTTTAATATTTGCATAAATTTTGTTCTAACACAACCCTCCCCCCCCCCTCTTTTAAAGCTTTCCATTGCTTATTTTTATCTGTATTTTTTTACCCCTCCCTAGATCTTTTCCACCAATCCTTCCAATCTCCTCTTAGTTACTGCAATTCTTTCCTTAGTCATTCGTCCATCCATGTCTACAAATCTCAGTGGCCCCTACAAACCCGTAGTCATCCCCTCCAAAAGGGTGGGACGAAGCCCCGTGCATCTTAAAATTACATGTTCTATAGTTTCCTTCTCGTGTTTGCATACGTCGCATAGACTGTCGATTTCCTGGAATTTAGCCCTTTACGTTTCCGTTCTAAGCACATCCGTTCTAGCTTCAAACAGCAATGAGCTCCCCAATGAATTATCATACAACTGTTCCTTTTTTTATTTCGTTTTCGTGCCCTGGATATTGTTAAAGGAGCTGTGCAACGATTTTAACGTTGAAAGAATTGGCATCTTCTACTTTTGACATTGTTCACCTTGTCACAAATGACAGAAAACACACCTCCTTTTATCGAAATGTTGCGATTCCGCCGAGTAATAGCGAGGCAAAAATT